TTCGGTAGCTTATCTCATCAGAACTCCACAGTTAAGCGTGCTAGACTTGGAGTAATATAGAGATGAGTGACTTTCGGGGAAGTTTCTCAGAAATTGTGTACTTAAGGACAAAACTTGCTGAAAAGTGAAGTATTGTGAAATAGAATCCTTGAGAGGCCAAATATGAGTGGTTCGTAGCGACTGATTTAGTGATCGATTTATTCGGTCACTAATTTGGTCCCCATACACATTAGCGACCAAAATCATTGCAACCATTTTGCGATCGAAAACTAAATAGCGACCAAAAATATTTTTTTGTCGCTATATAGCTTTGCGACCAGGGTTTTTGTGATTACTTAAATTCGATCGTTAAGGTAAATAGCGACCGATTTTAGCAATTTAGCAACCGATTTTGGTGGTCGCTAAATGCCATATTAATTTTTTGTAGTGATGCATGATCCCTAGCAAATAAACGTGAAATTTGAATTGAAAACAAGTTATTCTAGATGAGTTTCCTAAGGCAAAAGCTTAAAATATACCAAAGACCTCCAAGGACCACTTTCTCCAAGTACTAGTGCAACCTAAATTCTATCGAGAGATGGAATTGTACCAAAGACAACTCCAAGGCACTCCAAATGGCCAGTATATAAGAGTTCAAAGTCCAAGAATTACAAGAAGTAAGCAAAAAGTGGCTTGAAATTCAAAACAAAATAGCTACCGAATTAAAGACGAATTTAGTGACGAATTTTTAACTGGGGTTATTATAACCCCTGGAATGTAAACATTTATGTGAGTTTTAATAACCCTAGTTAAATTATAGGGGTTTGATTTCAAACCCCAGGAAAGTGCCAAGTGTTTTTTTTTTTTTTTTTTCCAGAAATCTTTGGTAACATTATTTTAATAAATTAAAATTTTATTTTTTTTATTTCCCTCTAATTATTTCCTTTACTCCAATACATAGACAACTTTTTAGTTTTCTTTTTCTTTTTCACAAGCACAAATTAAAATTGCAATTAAATCCAACATAAAATCTAAAAGCACATTAAAAGTTTTGATAAGGAATCTGAGTTTGGTGAAGGCCTTAACCCTAGATGTCTTGAACCTCTCCTTGAGGCACTTCTTGGTTTCCTTGAAAGAGGTGACCTTCTTGTCCTTTTGAAAGTAATACACCTGTAACGCGTAGCGTTTTTGAGATTGATGTTAAGCGTGTAGCACGTAGCGTCTTGAACCTTTCCATCCATGCTGGTGATGGCTTTCACAACTTGAAGGTAATTTTATTGATTTGGGCTTTGATTGTGTTATGGTAGTTTTTGTTTTTGGTGATGACTTTTGGAATGGTTTTAGGAGATTAGAATCGTGGAAATCGAAAAGCCAGTTGGGTGCGTTTATATACCCTTGTTTGGATTTGATCATCGGTGAGTCTTTGTTTTTTGTTTTGCAATGGAAGAGTTTGCTTGTTGAATGTTCTGCGCCATCCTGTGTTTTTGGTCGTCTTTTTCTTAATACTGTTTTGCTTATAGCTCATCATGGATTGTGTTGTAATTTTTAATAAATTTTAGCCAATAGTAAAGGGAGTGTTAGGGAATATCGCTCGCGTTATCTTATTTTTAAATAGGAACAATGGCCACAATAGTTTAATGTAGGGAATTTCAGGGAGCCTCGTGAAAGTGAAGGAACTAATCTACGATTTTATAAATTTCTATTTTCGAGTGCCACTATAATTTCGTACTTTTAATTGTTTTAAGATTTTTGGGAGTTTAGAGTGATGAAATTGTGGTGAGTATTCTATATTTTGGGGTTTTGACAAATTTTATGTTCAGGGCTTAGCATAACCCTGCTCTTATAATTGGGCTTAGGAATGGCTATGAGACCACAAATGGAATTTACTACTAGAATTTTTCTTATTACATGCGACTTTCCTTGTGAATTTTTATGAAAAATTTACAGGAAATCTTGTTCCTACAAATTTTTCTTTGAAATTTTATCTGTATGTAATACCTTCGTGGATAATATATTTTTGCGAATTTTAGAATTCGCAGGAAATTTTCTTGCTAAAAAATTCACGGGAAAGTTTCCTGCAAAAAAAGAAAGTTTCTTGCAAAAAAAAATTCGCAGGAAAATTTTTTCACAAGAAATTCTGCTGGAATATTTTTTACGAAAAAAATTAAAGTAATTATTATAAATTCTATAACTTTAAAATGCTTACAATGAATTCATCTGAAGCATTTGTTTCCATGTCTCAAATATGTGATACATAATCTTTTAAATTCTAAGATTGTAGATTATAAGTCTAACACTCAACCATACAAATCAACTTGTAAGGTAAGAGTTCTCCCAACTTATATACTCTTTAATTGTTTTATTTTCAATCGATGTGGGACTTGAAATTTTTTTAAAATATTAAACTTATAAATTTAAATATTTTTTTTTTATTTTTCCTGCGAATTAAAATTTGTAGGAAAATTCGCAGGAAAAGTTTCCTGCAAAATTTTTCTACCATTTAGTAAACATTACTTGTGAATTTATTTTCGCAAGAAAATCTACAAGAAACAAAATAAAATTCTTACAATATTTTTTGCAAATTTTTACCATAGAAAAAATTTTCTATGATTATTAAAATTGTAGCAAAATTTGTAAGAAATATCTGTAAATTATTTTTCACAAATAAATTCGCAAAAAGTTTCTACGAATATTTTTTTGCATGAAAATTCACAAAAAATTTCTACGAATATTTTTTTGCCAGAAAATTCACAAAAAATTTTGCGAATATGTTTTTTGCAAAAAAATGACACTTTTCTAGTAGTAGTCGTAGTGCTCTGTGTGTAATCCATATAATTCATCTCACCTAGTAGGATAAAGGCATAAAGCTACTATTGTTATTGTTCAAGTGATGAAATCCACTTGGACCATTGTTTACCCCTTTCTGATCATATTGTGTTTGGGGAATATACTATGCCTAGTGATCTTCTAAAGTAGTGAGCGCCAGAAAATTCAATCTCTTTCTGGCGGTTTTGAAACCGCCACAAGATGCATTTTGGTTTGACTTGTTTGATATTTTCTGGCGGTTCAAAACTGCCACAAAATTGCAGCTCTGTTTGACTTGTTCATCATTTTCTGGCGGTTTTAAACTGCCACAATATTCATTTTAATTCTACCCAGTTCAAGATTTCTGACGATTTTTAAACCTCCACAAAATTATTATTATTTTTGGTTGTTTACATTTTCTGGTGGTTTTAGATTGCCATTTCTCGCATTTTCTAACAATTTTAAACCGTCAAAAATACACTTTATTTTACGGTAATTTTTTATAAAATATATTTGGAATTATTTTAAAAGCGCATTTTTATTATAAATTGACAAATAATATTCTGTATATTTTAGAAATTTATCAAATTATTATTTAAAATTATCACTAACCATATTAATCATTAAAAATTAATAATGACTATATTATATTGTTATTTAATTCAAGTAACTTATAAATAAAAATTTTACTTGTCAAATTCTAGGATCACTTATTTTAATAAATTATACCTATAATTATAATAATATTTATGTGTTTTGTATGTTTCTTGTTCAAATATAATTACTTAAAGATACATTAAATTAACAACTTTTAACATTATTATAAAAAAAAATCAAGACAACATCTAGTCATAGGTCTAGCATGACATATTTTTTTATTATTAAGACATTAACATCCATCAATTTTAAAACATATCCAACATATTAAGTAACTCAAAATCAAATTCATGATCAATGCTCAAAAGTAAAATATGTAAATTGTCCCAAAATTAATCTTGCTTCAAATATAAAAACATAAGTTCAAATTCATGAGTTCATCATGTCTAAAAAAAACAATAATAATGTCAAACTCCATGAACATTACTATCTAATGAAGATCCTCCTTGTGGTGTTGGCATGTCATGTCCACTCCCTTCATCCTATAAAATACAAATTGTTTAATGTTATCCTTATTAATAAAATATGCATAAAATATTAAACTTCAATTAAGTATTAATATAATTTAGTTTAGTGCAAAATATAAAACACTTACCGCTACATTATTACTACCACTACCAAACATAGCCTCTAACTCACATAGGATCTTTAGCCTCTAACTCACATAGTAATTATGAGAGGTATCTTTGTTGGACAGTAAAACTGATAAGGACAATTACATTGGACCACAAGGTCCGTGAACAGGGCAAGACTACAATTACATTATGCATAGCAAAAAAATCAAGACTATTTGATGTTGATCGGAATAGCAGAACTGCCAGTTCCTCAGTTATCAATCCACGATTTTGATACAGCAGAGACACCCAAAACCCCTAGGATAGCAAGGTGGTCAGTATAGCACAGATTTTAACTCAAGTTAAATAGTCCGTTATACATATACATTAATGTTAAAAATAGAGGGAAAATCACCTAACATTAAGGACATTCATAATTACTATTCAGAAGTCAGTGTCAAGCTAAACACCCAAATCAATAGCAAGAAACATCAAGCAATAACATAAGTTTAAGCCTCTGAGCTAAAAAAAAACTCAATACACATGACAAAAATTGTTAGCAACATTGTGACTGAACAAATAACTGATGGAAAGACCTGTGTGAAAGCTGAGATGGGCTACAGAGGAAATGCAGAACAGAACATTTGGTTGCATGGTTTGGCCAGAACACGCCAGGCTTGACCAAAACTATGCCAGTGAGCAGTGGATCAAAGGTGTTGCACCAAAACAAAGGTTGTGGATGTTTGCATGAAAGAGTATTTGAACAAGGGTATTCAAACCCTTTATTATGATAAACAAATTGGAAAATAAAAAACCCAACAAAAATAGACCGCACTACAAAAAATAGGTGGCAGGGATAATTCTTTTAGCCCCTGTTCACAGTCTTGGCTGAAATAGTCACAATGGCAGGCTCAAGACTCTGCAACAGAATTTTAAGGCTTCAATAGCAGTACTATTGAGCATTATTAATAAATATGCTCAATTTGGAAATTGCTTACAAATCAAGTGGTCAAACACAACATCTCTAGTTTTCCATTTACTAAAATGACATTTAGGACATGGACACCTTATTGCACCATTGACAGATCGATTTTCAAAAGAAAAATCTAAGAATTTATTTAATCCATCTAGATATTCTATTGTATTCCTTGGCATATCAATCCATGATTTATCCATTACTACATCCATCTGACAAGGTTCAAGAAGAAGAAAAAACTAGATAAGTAAATTAATTTACTTATTTAAGCCAATTAGTCCAATTTCTGTAGTAAATCAGAGCCTACTGTGACAATATCAGTAGATTCTTTGTCTCATAAGCATAAACATCTTCAATATCATAAAAGAATCATATGAATGCATACTTGCTTTGTAAGTTTTAGAGCCACAAATATTTTGACATATAAGGAGATAATCAGATAAACGAATAGAAAGCTGCGTGTATTAAATAATACAAATCCCATACGTCTATACATATAACATGCCTAGAAAGTAGTTATAGATATCCTTAATATATAACTTAACCAATTGCTAAATATCACACCAGTTTAAAAATTGAAATACTACTAAATTAAAAGGCATATTATATTATAAGTCAAACATTTTTCTTTTTACATTTATGTCAAACAAACAGATTACCTTGCAAGTTTTGCTTCCTTAAAAATGGCCAGTTGCTGGGAGAAAAATGATTTGCAAGAACTGCACCCACAAGCAAGTGTAAAAACTGAAACATAATAAATCCATGAGCAACAGAGATTTTTTTTGTAAGTAAAAGATACAAATAATAAATCCATAGAGACTAACATAGATTAGTTGAGACAGAGTGTATAGAAGACAATTTTTTTTTAATCCATCTTTTGTAAGTGAAAAATGCCATCTAAGTAATAGTTGTTAGTAAAGATCCATAAATCCAGCCTATATGGATTGTTACGTAGGAGTCATATTGGTAGTTCAATGGTCAACTTAAGGCATCAAAATTAATTGACTAACCCAAATTATTTTATTAGTTGGTTTAAGGAAACCTGAAAGAGAAATAGTTGAATGAACTTTGTTTACTTAAAGAAATACGTTACTCTTAGCTAAAGAGTGGTTGTTTTCACATCTCAACAGGATAAATTTGCAGGGAAAGTTGTGTGAGACTGGAAGCAATGCATTCAGCAAAGAAATGCTCGAGACAGACAAGTGTTATATGTTGGACTGTGATAGTGAGATTTTTGTTTGGATGAGAAGACAGACTTTATTGACAGAAAGAAGAACAGCAACCAAAACTATAGAAGTAAGACTCTCTTCTTTAAGTTTCCTTTTGTTTCATGGAAATGGAGCTTCAGTATATATCCCAGCTTTCCAGTCTATGTGTGACTATGTGGTACTATCAATTATTTCTTTCATAGTCCCAAAAGAATGAGGGTTAGTCTACTGATGTCAAACTTTCATTTATAAACTAAAATCCCACTTACAATCTACCCTTGCCAACTGCAGTTCCTCCTACCGCTTGCTTGCTATTCATCTTTGTTCATGAAACCCATATTGCTAAAGAAATATATATTTTGGTAGTTTTCTTTGTTAAAATTTATTTTTTGTTGTGTTTGCTTTGGAGACAAAAGCAACAGATCAGTTTCATTAATGCATGTATTCAGCTGTGCTTGTCCATTAAGCATTGCATGGAGGGCATTGCCAATGCTCACCATTATCTCCATTTTATTAGGATTTTATCAGAAATGAAGGCAGATCAAACAAGACTCATTTGACATTTTTATCAGACGGATTGGAAAGTACCATCTTTCGGAAATACTATGATTACAGAGAAGCACAACTATATATGGATGTTAATAGAGACCAAGGATAACATGAGGAAGAAATACAACTGTGCAAATGCAAGTATCAAGTAAGGTCATGATTAAATTTTGCATCTCCACTTTACAATACGAAGCACTATGCACTATGCACTATGCACAACCATGTCATAAAGTTTTCGATTAACAAAAAGAAGCATGATTGTGTTGGATTAGAAAGGAGACGAAGCACACCCTTAATCATAAGTTATCCAGGCAGGACATACCTATAAATAGGAAAGGGTGAAATTAGACAAATATTTTTTAACCGCATTTACTTTTAGTTTGATTTTTGTTTCTTCTATACTATTTACCATGACCGAGAGAACTCTCGATGATTATCCTTGAACATCTTACAAGGAATAAAGTGATGATCTAATCTTTATCTTTTAAAGTTTTCATTTTTAATAAATTTTAGTTAATAATAAAAATAATATTAGATAAAGTTTCGCTAACATTGATGTTTAGATTTCTTAAAATAGCAGTCCTTGACTAACATGATATACATGAATTTATTTACTTAAAATATTTGCTTTGCATGTTCTAAAATATGATTCATATTATTAGGGTGTCAATTTTTTAATAAAAAATCTTTAGAATCGATCAGGATTATGTATCGTTAATGACAATCAATCATACTGGAAGACAGTTATATAAAGGTAAAGAATCTTAAAGATTAGCTGTCAAATTAAAATCTGGTGCAGATTTTCAAAGCAATGTTTCAGTTACAATTACGAAAGTTAGGAATCTTGATTCCAATTACTCGTTACTTTTTGTATACAGATCTAGGACCATAATTGACTTTTAGTGGAGGAATGGTTTCTGGCCCTTCTTATATCTTAGTGGCCTAACAAGGACAAAGGTTTTATTAACAAATCAAAAAGAGTGTTAATCATGCATACAAGGTTAGACCCTTAGGCTGGGTCTCATATGACTGTGATATATATATAAATTCCTCAACAAAAGATCTTTCAATAAACTAATCAATGAAACTAAAAACTAATAACTTCTCTTTGTATTCGAGAAGAGAAAACATGGTAAAGATACAAATAAAAGGTGAAATTGGGTACAAACTCACCTTCAATCACAATGCTTTTGTGCACCTGCCTTAAGTGCGTGATTGTTATGCAAGCATCTGCTTTGACTGATCCACGAGAATCAAGCTACCAAAGAATAATATTCACCAATTTGAGTTTTCCTTGCATAGATTGATTACGAGTCATATCTGCCAATTCCAAAGAGAGGGTAAACGGGGGATTATAGACTGTAACAAACTTACATATGTGGCAACAAGTGTAGGAAGTATCACGAGTCTGAGTGGGATATAGGGTAAAAGAGAGGGTAGGAAATCATTTGAGTTGTTGCAAGTGGCTATTGCCATTGGGCAGAGAAGTTTTCCTTCTGTGATTTGTAATCAGCGCGCTGTCATTTAAATATTTTCTCTATTAAGCCACAGTAAATTTACTTCCTATCAGAAATATCAGCAATTTCTTCTACTTCTAATTAAGAAAATAAAAAATAGTTTTAATTTTTAACAAGGGAATAAAAGAAATGACAAGATGCCTCTCACAAAAAATGATAGCAAACTTATTTACCTCTCCCCTGGATTAACAAAAGCAAACATAGAAAACAGAGTATCTTGGAGTTTATTCCCTTTTCCTTGCCAAATCTAAAACAAATTGATATCAAAGAACTTTCCTCACTTCCTCTACCAAGTTGACACATAGCCTCCTTGCTCACACAAAATTCCGTTCAAGAAAAATAAATAAATAAACCTCTCATGCATGCACCAAATATAATCATAATCATCCATTTCCAACACAACAAAACACCCTGAAATTATTTTAATTAAAAACAAAAAAACTTCAGTCTCCCTTAAAACTTTTTCTTTTCCAAGACAAATGATCAAACTCATCAAAGTCAAAACAATGGTTAACTCTGCTCCATAACGATCCACACAAACATAAATGATCAAAACAATCAACAGAACGCCAAACACACAAAATTGACACGTGACAACAACAAGCACAAACGAGAAAGAAAAGGAATCTTGTTCATTTTCTTAGCGTTTTGCGGAATCTAAAGAGCGAAACAGAAGGGAGAAACTCACCCATGTAAATTGAGCTTGACTTTGCGGTGAACAGTGGGTCAATGGCGGAGCAAACCCTAGGAGATAGAAAAAAAGAAAGCAGGTGCGGAGAGAAAAAGCGAGTGCAATACCAAATGAATCCCCGACAGGATTTGAAATTGAAACTCTCCTAGCAAATTTCGTTGTCCGATTCGACTATAGGGACAACACAACCATCTGCAAAATTCAGGAGAATAGGAAATGATAGCTTAGACAGAAACAAATTGACTTAGACAGAAGAAAATTGTATATGAAATCTTATCCTAAGATCAATTGAATGCATACATTTCCCGCGTGCAAGTTGCGTAACCTAGGTTTTGATTCTCATTAGAGAATGACAAATTGTGAGTATGAGTCGAAGAAAACAGAACAAATTTAATGTACTTGGATGATCGAAAACTCACCATGAATGAATTAATCGATTAGAAAAGAGAAGCTCCTCACGAACAGTAATGATAAAGACGAAAGAGCAAAGAGCTTGAACAATAATATTGCCGTTTAGGCCTAACAGTCGCATGTCGCATATTCAAATGAATAGCATTTGAACTAAAAGTGTAAATTTTTTTTATTTTTATTCTTTTAATAAAAAAATATTTTAATTGAGCTGGTCACATGTCGAAAAGTTGGCGACAGTAAAAATGAGGTGCTTAAATATTGTGGCGGTTTGAAACTGCCAAAAATTAACTATTTAAACAGTTTGCCTCTATTTTCATCTTTTCCCAAAATACCCCTGCAGACTTCGTTTCAATTTTTTTTAAGTCTAATTTTAATATAAAAAAAACTATTTAACGTTCTAGCGGTTTAAAACCGCCAGAAATTGTCCACACTTGTAATGATTATCATTCTTGCGATTTAAAACCGCCAGAAAGTGTCAATAATTTGTAGCACTAGCCATCCTTACCACAAATGTAACATTTTTTGGCGGTTTTTAGAAACCGCAAAAAAAAAACCGCTGGTAATTACCTATTTTTTTGTAGTGATATGCCACTAAAGAATATGGTTGCAACCTTCATCAGTGAAACAGGTTCAGTTAGAAAGCAATAGGATTTTATACTTGGTAATGTTACCAATTAATGTAATTTTTAAAAAAAAAAATTGCGAGTTTTGTTAGAATCCGTTTAAGATAAAAATAATAAACCACAGATGGTAACCCTGGAATCAAGTTTTATAGTTTGTTTCTTGGATACAAAGCTCCATATATCGTTATAATATTGAAAAATCTCATTTGTTCAAATTTTTTCAGAATTAAATGTTTGGATAAGCTTTTCTGCACAAACTTAAGGGTAAATGCAGCAAAGATTTCCATGGTAGAATGTTGACGTTTAATACAAAGAATGTTTTCACTCGTAGGAAAGTGGCAAATATATAAAAAGTTTCTCCTATTTGATAAAGATTATAGAATAAAATTATCTCCAAAAATTTTTTACTAAAAATGATAATTTATAATTTGACCACCTTTACACCCACGGTATTTGAATACAAAGTTAATAATAATAAAAAAAATTCATAGTAACTAACGGTAAATATTTAATTAAGAATAAAATATCAACTTTATTAGCATCATTTAATTTGTCAATATCCTAAACAATGATCACAATTGTTAATAAAGTCCTATGGAGATCCCAAAATATTATTATGGCAAAAACAGTGAAAAGTTCTACAAAATCTTAGCATTCATTGTTATAATTTCTAGGTTGTACTTAGGATGAATAAAATAAAAAATTTGAGGCATTGTTTAATTTTTTTTTGCACAAAATTATCATGGTCAATTGTCTTTCAATTTGGCAATGTTTCATCCTTTACTTGTAATTTTTAAAAGTGAAATAACTTTTTTTAATATATTTCATTATATAATTTTCTAAGTTTTAAATTATGATTTATATTTGTATTTCAGGTTTTTGATCAAGGAAACATACCAACTAATGAAACGAATTCTCAACATGGAGATGAACATATTTGATAGTTGATGATGAGCATACTAACTTGTAGATGATTTTCTTTTATTTTTGGAAATTTGATAGAACATATTGTACTAGTTTGTTTTGAAGAAAATATTGTATATTTTTATATTTACTATTTTGTAGGATTAATCACGCCATACAAGTTTCATACTGTGCTTGTTATGCATGTACTTTGTGTTTTACAGTCAAACTAATATAAATTTGTGTTAGTTCTGTACATTGAATTTTACATCTTTATTAGTTCTATACTTTGTATTTTGCATCTTTATTACTTGATTTATTTTATATAATTATATAACAAAAAGGTCATTATGTAAAGAATATCTAGTATAATATTAAATGTGTAGGTATAAGAAAATATTCTTTTAAAAAAATAGGTATTATCCAAAAGTGGATAACATAGGAAAATTTAGATTGTATTAATATGGGTTGTATAACCCCAACACATTCATGGGGTTATAGCACCTGCTAATCTACAGAAGTTATAAACACATGTTATTTAATGGGGGGTTATAAACACGCATTACTTAAAGGAGGTTACGTAACCTTGGTTAATTTACTAAGGGTTAAAAATTGCAATTACATAGTCGGGGTTAGAAACCCTTGTTAATTATTGGGGTTTAGAAACCTTAACTATATAGACGGGGTTAGAAACCTTTGTTAATTACTGAGAGTTAAAAACCTCAACTACTTAGTTGGGGTTTAAAACTGCAAGAAATTTTAAATTTTTCAAGGTTGCTAAAAATTCCGCTAACACGTTCCCTACGGATGATTTATCGGGAGTTTGTGTAACCCCTCGAAATGCATTTAGCGGGAGTTATAACCCCAGTTAAATTCAAAATTAACCTTTGTTCAATCCTATTTTTTTGTACCGAAGGAGGATGGTTAGTTCATAACTTGATCAACACTTAGAATAACAACTCAAAATCAGCCATACAAGACACCAAAAGAATTCGGACACTTCAACTAGAGTTATGGACTTGGCAAACTCAAAGATCACAAATAATTGACAAACTAAAAATAAGTATTCAAGTATGGCTAGCACTCAAAAGAATTCCTAAGATTGGTTCTAGAATAGATGAATAAAACCAAAATGAATTAAGATTCAAATTCATGCAACTTTTTACTCAAATTTTCCTACTACTAATCACACAAGGTCGAGACATACATGTTTTTACTCCTTTTAGCTTTTCTTATATATATATATA